CTTTAGTTCTCCAATGTTAGTTTCGTATTTAATATGTGTACTTCCCTAAACATATTCGGTAGTCATACTCAGAGGACCACATGTATGTTGTGAATTCACTATATATACTTTAACAAATCTATTATACAGACGTAACAAATTATAAATTCAGCGAAACAATTTCAGAGGTCCCCAGGACTTCACTATAACCCTGTTTTACTGTATATCATTGCATGAATAAGTTTACGATTGATTTTCTCTCATCATGAATTTTCCTTTATTCTTCAGCTATACAAGAAGGCTCGCAGACTTGGGTATGGAGAGAGTGACATTTCTGCTGTTTACCGTGCCTCCAGTAACTGATTTCGAGTGAGAGAGACTTGTGATTCACTGGGCATGACTGTAATACATGTGACTTAACCGTGCAATGACCCTGGTGATTAATCTGTAGAAGCACCAATTACAGTATTGAGGATAGGTGAAAAGTGCAAAAATTCTGTTCTTCTATGAAGAAACGTAATCACTACAAACGTCATTACACTGAGATTTACGTCATTTTACTGAAAGTTATCTGCTCCGAGAGGGACCATGTGATCTCGTCACAGATACAGTGATGTTTTAGAGATTTTTACAAAGTCGTGTAGTAAACTTTTATTTAGTTGTTTCAGTTGAGTAATTATCATTATTAGTTCATTTTATATAAATAGTTCATTTTAAAGAATATGATGTGATTTTTTTCTCTCCTTTTTTAAGTAGGTTGTTCCATTGGGATTTACTTTAAACAAAAAAAAAAAGGAAAGAAAATTTGTGTAGTATATGAGGTGCCATCTGCATGCATTCATGAGAAGATATGTGAAGGAAAAAATCATAATTTTGTCACCAACATTTAAATCAGTTTATTGTTTTCCTACATTTCTCCTTTTGTATGTGGCATTCTTTCATCCAGATCTAAATTAATGGCAGCTATAGGCTTGAATCTAATGTGCTGTGTTGGTTTCTATATTTGTTTGCATTCAGTTGGAAAAATTTCGTCCAATGAGTGACCATAAATAATTGTAATGGGCAGTACATCAGATGTTATCAACAACAGTGAACTGTCCAAGGATTATATTTGCTTTGTTTAGTGTATCATGTTGAACAAAATAGTGAATGTGTGGTTTGATTATTGTAGAATTAAATATTTTTTAGACAAAATTACAAAAAGAGTTTGTGTGAAATTTATTTAGTTTCATAAAAGAAAAACCTGAAATATGTATTATATACATGTTTGTTTGTTTTTTTTTTATTGTAAATCTTTGAGTATAGGGTCACAACCAGATACAGACTGAGAGCTTTGTATAGAACTGTACTGTAGCATTAAAATCATGTATATGCTGAGTTCTGTAAATAGACACATTTGATGTTGTATATCAAAAAATCATAAACTCCAAAAAATTTTCATGTATTCATTCACTGCATCCATTCATTGAAAACCTCATTAATGATTAAAGTTATGACAAGCTAAAGGAATTAAATCTCTCTTTTTATTTTTCATCAAGATTTTCATCAAGAAAAGAATGCCAGGATACTTAGTAGGATCTATTCCATCCAGTAAATTATTGGGATGTGGGTGAAGTGAGGGGGGGGGGGGGTTAAGATCTTTAGAATTAATTGATGTTTACAACATGTAATAGAACCTTGGACATTTGTGGACAGATGAAGAAAATGGCATATAATTTTATGATTTTTTAGGTCACCTGAGTCACTCAGGTGACCTATTGCTATCTGTTCTCGTCCGTCGGCGTGCGTCGTGCGGTGTGCGTCGTGTGTTAACATTTGAACATTTTTAGCTTCTTCTCTGAAACCGCTTAACCAATTTCAACCAAATTTGGCATATAGCATCTATGGGTGAAGGGGAACAAAAATGGTGAATTTCATGGTCCCTGCCCCCCTGGGACCTGAGGGGTGGGGCTAAAACCACTGAAAATAATGCAATCTTTAAAAATCTTCTTCTTTACTCCAGGACATCAAGCAGTCAAACTGTTGGCATCATAGTAATAAGCATTGAGCCCTCTACCAAAATTGTGAAATTCATGGCCCCAGGGTCAGGGGTTCTGGTGCTAGGGTGGGGCTATATAGAACATATAGTGAAAGTGCATTATTTCTTTGAAAATCTTCTTCTCTGCTCCTGGGTATTAAATAAACTAAATAAGTACATAGTTATGAAGAGCAAGAGTGCCTCATCCAAAATTGTGAATTTCATGGCCCCAGGGTCAGGGGTTCTGGTGTTAGGGCGGGGCTCTATTGATTATATAGTGAAAATGCATGAATTCTTTGAAAATCTTCTTCTCTGCTCCTGGGTATTAAATAAAGTAACTAAGTACATAGTTATGATGAGCAAGAGTGCCTCTTCCGAAATTGTGAATTTCATGGCCTCAGGGTCAGGGGTTCTGGTGTTAGGGCGGGGCTCTATTGATTATATAGTGAAAATGCAGTAATTCTATGAAAATCCTTTTCTGTGCTCCTGGGTATTAAATAAAGTAACTAAGTACATAGTTATGAAGAGCAAGAGTACTTCTTCCAAAATTGTGAATTTCATGGCCCCAGGGTCAGGGGTTCTGGTGTTAGGGCGGGGCTCTATTGATTATGTAGTGAAAATGCATGAATTCTTTGAAAATCTTCTTCTCTGCTCCTGGGTATTAAATAAAGTAACTAAGTACATAGTTATGATGAGCAAGAGTGCCTCTTCCGAAATTGTGAATTTCATGGCCTCAGGGTCAGGGGTTCTGGTGTTAGGGCGGGGCTCTATTGATTATATAGTGAAAATGCAGTAATTCTATGAAAATCCTTTTCTGTGCTCCTGGGTATTAAATAAAGTAACTAAGTACATAGTTATGATGAGCAAGAGTGCCTCTTCCAAAATTGTGAATTTCATGGCCCCAGGGTCAGGGGTTCTGGTGTTGGGGGGGGGGGGGCTCTATTGATTGTATAGTAGAATTGCAGTAATTCTATGAAAATCCTTTTCTGTGCTCCTGGTTATTAAATAAAGTAACTAAGTACATAGTTATGAAGAGCAAGAGTACTTCTTCCAAAATTGTGAAATTCATGGCCCCAGGGTCAGGGGTTCTGGTGTTAGGGGGGGGGGGGGGCTCTATTGATTATATAGTGAAAATGCATGAATTCTTAGAAAATCTTTTCTGCTCCTGGGTATTAAATAAAATAACTAAGTACATAGTTATGATGAGCAAGAGTGCCTCTTCCAAAATTGTGAATTTCATGGCCCCAGGGTCAGGGGTTCTGGTGTTAGGGGGGGGGGGCTCTATTGATTATATAGGGAAAATGCATGAATTCTTTCAAAATCTTCTCTGCTCCTGGGTATTTTTCAAACAAAGGAAGTGCATGGTTATGATAAGGAAGAATGCCTCTTCCAAAATTGTGAAATTCATGGCCCCTGGGTCAGGGGTTCGGGGGGGGGGGGGGGGGGGGAGGGGGGAGAGAGCTCTATTGATTACATTTATATAGTGAAAATGCTTAATTTCTTTCAAAATTATTTATCTACTCCTGGTTATAAACTAAAGAAACAAGTGTATAGTTATGATGAGAAAGGGTGCTTCTTCCAGAATTGTGAGTTCGTGGCCAATGGGTCAGATGTTCTGGTGTAAGGATGGGGCTTTATTTATTTAATAATATGGTGAAAATGCATTTCTTTGAAAATTGTCTATGCTTCTTTGGATGTTCAAGACAAACAGAGTAAAAGTTTTAATATGCAAGGGTATTTTTACCAGAATTTTGAACACCTGGACCATTTAGTCAAGTTTTCTGGTCCTGGCCAGGGCTCTATTAACTTGTATTCTACTGAGCAAAGTTATTCCCCTTCATTCACCTTTGATATTTAATCAATTTACATAATGTATTTGAAAGCTTAATAGAATAAGAGAATTATGCAAGAAAATTTATTGTATAATAAAAAAAGTACTTTCATAGTTTTAATGACTTGGAAATAATAGATGAATAAAAATGAGACAAAAATAACCTATCTTTTTAAATGTTCTTCAACGGCCAAGAGAGGCCATTGTGAGAAGGAATAATATGGGGTTGAATAATAGACATTTTGTTAATAGTCTGCATGGGAATAGTGATAAATGGGGGGGGGGGGGCAGATAGATACTAGACCAATTATTTTGTTGATGCTAATCATACTATTTTCTTGCTGTTGGGCAACAAAGCTTCATTTATCAGTTTATGGATCCTCTAAATTGTTGTATTGTACTCAGGTGACCGTTAAGGCCCTTGGGCCTCTTGTTTTTAAATGATAGATGTAATTTATATACAAAAGTATTTTTATGCCCACGGATCGAAAGATCCTGGGGGTATATTGTTTTTGTCCTGTCTGTCTGTTTGTCTGTTTATCTGTTTGTCTGTTTATCTGTTTGTCTGTCTGTCTGTTGTCAACTTTAACCTTGCCCATAACTTTTGATTGGTTGGAGCTATGACTTTCATATTTCACATGTATATTCCTTGTGACAAGACCTTTCTTTAGGTACCATCATATTTGACCTTTGACCTTGACCTTGGAGTTTGTCCTACTTTTGCAAAATTTTATGAGACTTTAACCTTGGCCATAACTTCTGAACAGTTGGTGCTTGGGGTTTCAAACTTCACATGTGTATTCTTTGTGACAAGACCTTCCTTTGGATACCAACCACTTTGACTTTTTGACCTTGACCTTGGAGTTTGACCTACTTTTGAAAAACTTTAACCTTGGCCATAACTTTTGAACGGTTAGAGCTAGGGCTTTCATAGTTCACATATGTAATCCTTGTGACAAGACCTTCCTTTGGATGCCAACCACTTTGACCTTTTGACCTTGACCTAGGAGTTTGACGTACTTTTGAAAAACTTTAACCTTGGCCATAACTTTTGAATGGTTGACGCTAGGGCTTTCATACTTCACATATGTAATCCTTGTGACATCACCTTCCTGTGAATGCCAACCACTCTGACCCTTTGACCTTGACATAGGAGTTTGACCTACTTTTGAAAAACTTTAACTTTGGCCATAATTTTTAGCTCACCTGAGCCGAAGGCTCAAGTGAGCTTTTCTGATCACATTTTGTCCGTCGTCCGTCCGTCCGTCTGTCTGTCTGTCTGTCCCTCCGTCTGTAAACTTTTCACATTTTTGACTTCTTCTCAAAAACCACTGGGCCAATTTTGACCAAACTTGGTACAAAGCATCCTTGGGTAAAGGGGAATTTAAATTGTAAAAATGAAGGGCCAAGTCCCCTCACAAGGGGAGATAATCAAGAGAAGACAAAAATAGGGTGGGGTCATTAAAAAATCTTCTTCTCAAGAACAACTGGGCCAGAAAAGCTGAAACTTATGTGGAAACATTTTAGGGTAGTGTAGATTCTAAATTGTTCAAATCATGACCCCCGGGGCAAGGGTGGGGCCACAATAGGGAATCCAAGTTTTACATTGAAATATATAGAAAAAAATCTTCTTCTCAAGAACCACTGGGCCAGAAAAGCTGAAACTTATGTGGAAGCATCCTAGGGTAGTGTAGATTCTAAATTATAAAAATCATGACCCCCGGGGGAAGGGCGGGGCCACAATAGGGAATCCAAGTTTTACATTGAAATATATAGAAAAAAATCTTTAAAAATCTTCTTCTCAAGAACCATTGGGCCAGAAAAGCTGAAACTTATGTTGAAGCATCCTGGGGTAGTGTAGATTTTAAATTGTTAAAATCATGACCCCTGGGGAAGGGTGGGGCCACAATAGGGAATCCAAGTTTTACATTGAAATATATAGAAAAAAACTTTAAAAATCTTCTTCTCAAGAACCATTGGGCCAGAAAAGCTGAAACTTATGTGGAAGCATCCTTGGGTAGTGTAGATTCTAAATTGTTAAAATCATGACCCCTGGGGGCAGGTCGTGGCCACAATAGGAAATCCAATTTTTATATTGAAATATATAGAAAAAAAAATCTTCTTCTCCAGAACCACTTGGTCAGAAAAGCTAAGACTTTTGTAGAAGCATCCTGGGGCAGCGTAAATTCTAAAGAATTCAAATCTTGACCCCTGGGTGTAGGGCGGGGCCACAATAGAGAATCCAAGTTTTACATTGAAATATATAGGAAAAATCTTTAAAAATTTTCTCCTCAAGAACCTCTTGGCCAGTAAAACTGAAACTTATATGGAAACATCCTAGGGTAGTGTAGATTTTAAATTGTTAAAATCATGATCCCCGTGGGTAGGGCGGGGCCACAATAGGTATTACAAAAAGATCATCTGGTGAAGAACAGCAGGGCCAAAGTTAGACTTGGTCAGAAAAGCTAAGACTTTTGTAGAAGCATCCTGGGGCAGCGTAAATTCTAAAGAATTCAAATCTTGACCCCTGGGTGTAGGACGGGGCCACAATAGAGAATCCAAGTTTTACATTGAAATATATAGGAAAAATCTTTAAAAATTTTCTCCTCAGGAACCTCTTGGTCAGTAAAGCTGAAACTTATATGGAAACATCCTAGGGTAGTGTAGATTTTAAATTGTTAAAATCATGATCCCGGTGGGTAGGGCGGGGCCACAATAGGTATTACAAAAAGATCATCTGGTGAAGAACAGCAGGGCCAAAGTTATTCAGGTGAGTGTTGTGGCCCATGGGCCTCTTGTTGAATGGTTGGTGCTAGGGCTTTCATACTTTACATATGTAATCTTGTGACAAGACCTTCCTTTGGATACCAACAACTTTGACCTTGACCTTGATGTTTTACTTACTTTTAAAAAACTTTAACCTTCGCCATAACTTTTGAACAGTTGCAGCTAGGGCTTTCAAATTTAACATTTTTTATCTTTTGGCCTGCATTTTGACTTGCATTTGAGAAACTTTAACCTTAGCCATAAGCTGCCATACGGTGTTTCACAAACACATCTTGTTTTTTCTAGGAATAAAACAGATTGACAAAGTATCTTTGGTTGAAAGGAACATGATTAAGGATCTTTATGTGTAAAGTAGAAATTGCAGACAGTTTAAAAAATCTCCAGAACAAGAATGCTGTATTGAAAGTACCATCAATTCATATGTAAAGTTTGAGACCCACTTGTAAAGGAGGTACGTAAGGGGGGGAAAAAACTAGCATGAAGCCCTTTCTTGAACATACTTTCAAACAAATTTACCAGAAAATTTTATTTATGCTGATGGAATCTTAGCTCACCTGAGTTACTAATTAAACTTTATACCAGTGCATATATATTAATATACATGTAGATTCATAAAATGAGTTGAACAGGGTATTTTCGAACCATTTAATAGTCATTTTTTTATCAAACTAGACACAGATTGAGTGTACTTAGAAGTAATTCTAGGGTCAAATGTTGACATGTCCTCTCGTCTGTTCCTCAGTGAAAAAAAAATTAGAAAATTGCATGAAGAGAATTCTAATGAAATTTTAGGCCATATTGTTATTGTTGTTTGTATTATTACATAATATCTTCTTCCAAAACTTGTGTGTTTGTCTAAATGTTTTCTTCCAAAACTTTTAAGTCTATTTTTTAACCAGATAGGTTGGTTGAAATCATTTATTGATGTAAAATCAATTTATTAAAAGGGCAATTGATTACAAAACATTTTACCCCAATGAAGGTTCAGGCTCATTTAAATGTAACACTTTGATGTTTTGAGATTCATATGTTTGCAAGATCAAGATAACCAGGGTGATTATTCTTTATATATAGGCTCTTTTTTTTCTTTTGATTTTGTATTTAATTACATGTACTTCAGACTTCTGTTTTAAGTTCAGTGTTTTAGTCGATCATAAATTTTGAACATCCTGTTAAAATTAAAATACTGGTATGATAATAATTAAACCAATGAACATTATTTTTTGTATATAGGTTTTATGTTAAATTAGAGTGAATATTATTGGAGCTCTTCTGTAGACACTGAAAATTTTAGTGGTGATATTTTCAGATTTCATGTTTTACTCCAAATTATTAGTCTGATGAACCAATTAGTTCTTAGTATGTAGACATCAGGATCTATTTGATTAGTCCTAATGTCTACACAAAGAAAAAAAAGGGTGTGTACCTGAGTCATATGCTGGGTACTAAACTAGAATAAATACTACAAAGGATGAAAGATACAAGCTGGGTCAGAATAATAATGAGGCTTGGTAACCAGGGCTTAACCTTCCAATGATTTGCCTTTGACCTAAATCTTATATTTCCAGATTTTGCATTTATCTTATTTTCAAGATTTCTTTATCTCTTGATACAAGGTCTGAAGTATATGCTGCGATATCTCATGAAATTCTTTTTCTTTTTTTTTTTTTTTTGGATAATTTATTGCATTTTCAAAGGTTTCTTTTTACAAAAAAGGAATATTGAGAGAGAGAGGGGGGAGAGAGAGAAAGAGAGGATTATGAAAATAAGTCTTTCAAAAGTCTCCAGCTTTCATCAAAAAATTCTCTTTCATTATTTTTATAAGATATATATTTTTATAATTCATACATTGTCTTAATAGAGGATATCAACCCACCTAAGGAAATGTTTCTGTTTGTACATTTGTACAGATAAATGTAATATTTGGTTTGTAGAGCAATAATATTTTTAAGCTTGTCAGTTTTCTTCACAGAGCCTAGTAAAAATTCCTTTTTTGAGAAAGTTATAGTAGAGTGGATTCTATCAAAACAGTACTTTGCAAAATTCTCTAAAAGAGCCTGAACATGTTCACATTCCCACAACAAGTGTTCAATTGTTTCAGTTTCTGCTTTACAAAGAGTACATATATTACTGTCAATTTTATTAATTTTATGCAGGAAGGAATTCGTTGCTAGTATTTTATGATTTATTCTAAATTAGAACCACTGAGATCTTATGAAATTCACTTTTACTACTAAACCAGCAATATCAAAATGGTCTTTTTAAGGAATGAAGGAAAAAAAATTCAATGGATTTATAACTTAGAAAATTTTTAAAAGTGAAATTGTTAAGTGTGTTGAAAGTTTTCCCTAATAACTTAGCAAGTTAACAGTGCCAAAAATTCATGACCTTTACTAATACCAATTTTTTAGCTCACCTGAGCTGAAAGCTCAAGTGAGCTTTTCTGATCACCGTTGTCCGTCGTTCGTCCGTCCGTCCATCCATCTGTAAACTTTTCACATTTTCGACTTCTTCTCAAGAACCACTGGGCCAATTTTAACCAAACTTGGTACAAAGCATCCTTGGGTAAAGGGGAGTTTAAATTGTTAAAATGAAGGGCCAAGTCCCTTTCAAAGGGGAGATAATCAAGAAAATACAAAAATTGGGTGGGGTCATTAAAAAATCTTCTTCTCAAGAACCACTGGGCCAGAAAAACTCAAACTTAGGTGGAAGCATCCTGGGGTAGTGTAGATTCTAAATTGTTCAAATCATGACCCCCGGGGCAAGGGCGGGGCCACAATAAGGAATCCAAGTTTTACATTGAAATATATAGGAAAAATCTTTAAAAATCCTCTTCTCAAGAACCACTGAGCCAGAAAAGCTGAAACTTATGTGGAAGCATCCTGGGGTAGTGTAAATTCTAAATTGTTCAAATCATGACCGCTGGGGGTAGGGCGGGGCCACAATAGGGAATCCAAGTTTTACATTGAAATATGTAGTAAAAATCTTTAAAAACCTTCTTCTTAAGAACCATTGGGCCAGAAAAGCTGAAACTTAGGTGGAAGCATCCTGGGGTAGTGTAGATTCTAAATTGTTCAAATCATGACTCCCAGGGGTAGGGCGGGGCCATATTAGGGAATCCAAGTTTTACATTGAAATATGCAGAAAAAATCTTTAAAAATCTTCTTCTCAAGAACCACTGGGCCAGAAAAGCTGAAACTTATGTGGAAGCATTCTGTGGTAGTGTAGATTCTAATTGTTCAAATCATGACCCCTGGGGGTAGGGCAGGGCCAAATAAGTACTAAGGGGGGGGGGGGAATCAGAAGAAAAACAGCAAGGCCAAAGTTACTCAGGTGAGCGCTGTGGCCCATGGGCCTCTTGTTTTTAATGCCCCGCCTATGAAATGTCAGAACATACAGTTTTTCCCTTCCTGTCCATTATTTCATCATTGTCATTCAGTCATACTTAGTTTTCCAGAATATGTTTTGCTGTGTGTATAGATAACGAGCTGATTTTTGGTATAATTAGGTCTTTTTATTGATGACTGACAGATTAAGTTTGAGTTTCATGTTGATTGACCCATTTTCATGAAAGTTATTGCTCTTAGACTTTGAAAATTTCTAATTATCACTGTGCTTTTCCATTGTGCTTGTAGATAATGAACTGATGTTTGGTAAGTTGCTAGAAACATCCTCTGGCAATGGCAAAACATAATTATTGGTATTGTGTTTTTACTCTGGTATACAGGCTTTGTGGCTATTGTATGAATGCTGAAATCACAGGCAAAATTCCTTGTATGTTAGCTCT